GAATCTGAATCCTCCTCCTCCTCCTCCTCCTCCTCTTCTCCTTCCTCCACTCTGCAAACTCCACTCTCTTCTAGCACTGATGACGTTCTCTAGTTGGGTCCTGAAACGCCTGCAAGAAAACCATCCAGCTCAGAGAACACCAAAGATGCTCACAGTTCAACCCTGAGCTACAAATATCCTTTACAACTGATCTCCTGCTCCTGTTCACCTACGTGAAACCTTCAGCACTGGGCCCAGGCTGAATAGATGGGATCCTCTCTCCACTTTTGCAACTTTAAGACGTGTGGACTTCAACCCCCAGAATTCCCCCAGGCAGCCACGCTGGGAACCAAATCCCGGCCATCTTCCAGGGTTGAAAAGGGCTGCTCCGGTTTGACCTGCTTTGCATTCCATGCAAAAAAAAAAAGGGGGGCAACTTTGATGGAAGCGACGATTGTTTTAGAAATGGGTGAAGAGGGATAAAGAAAGAATTTCCAGTGGAGTGGAATGTATTAAAATTAAAAGCAATGGAAAAAAAGCCACTTGGGGTGAAATGAAAGGGAGGAAAAGCCGGAAGGAACAGCCCTAAGGTTGCAGTGCAGAGTTGGAAGGGGACCTTGGAGGTCATCTAGTCCAAACCCATGCAATTTCGGACAAATGGCCTTCCGATCTCTTCTTGAAAACTTCCGGTGTGGGGAAACCATATTGAGGCAGGAAAGGGGGCTCCATGCTGTTAGGTAAGGTAGCATGGCTCTGCCCAGAGACACTTTCTGAAGACGTGACGAGGGTGAGGAACTGAGCATGAAGGATTTGGGCTCTTCCAGAGGGAGATGCTTTCCTGCTCTCCCCTGCCAGGGAGGGCGGCCGTTGGATGGAAAGTGACGCTGAATTGCAACTTCCGGAGAGCCGTGGTGGGTTCCGGATCCCGTTCCAACTGGTACGGTTGGAATGGGCCTGGCGGGAGGCACGCACATGCGCCGTACCTGCGACGCTTCCGCAAGCCTCCGCAACGCTCCAGCTGCTCGGTGGAGCGTCGCCCAGGGGCTGTATGTGCCATGCGCGTGCGCGGAAGCACCAAAGGCTTTAAATGACAGGTAAGGGGCGCGGGCGGGCGGGTGGGCCTTCCGGAGAACGGTAGCCAGTGCTTTGGGCAGGCTCTGGTGTGCCCGTACCAGGGAGCACCGCCTGCAACCCACCACTGCCGGAGAGGGGAGGCAGCAAGTGGCAGGCGGAAGGGGATTATTATCCGGCGGCTTAGAGAGGTCAACGTTTTCCATGGGGAGAACGGAGCAGGCCAGGCCAAGCACCAGCCCCGGCTGGGAATGCAGAGATTCCCCAGGATCCCCATTTCCAAGATTCTGAAATCAGGAGGAATCCATAAAAATGGCAACCAAAGAGGGCAGGCACAGGCGACAGCCAGAGAAATCATTGCAACCGGCCTGCCTTCCTCCACCGTTCAGTGAACGATCCAGAAAGAGGGCCGAGAAAAATATCTGCAGAGCCCTCAGGTCCTGGACAGAAACTGTTTCAGCTTCTCCCCCTGTGGACCCCCCACCCCCTCTAAGGCCCTGCTGGCCAAAACCACCGGCCTCCTCCTCCGTGTCATCGCTCTGCTGAACCCTTCGTTCCCAAAGCATCTCCTCACTTCCCCCATTTCCCCGTCTTCCCTGCTCTCTCCTCCTATTGGCATTTTATGATTCATTGGTTGTTGTTTGCAACTAAGATTAATGATTGTAACCATGATTTATGATCCGTGACCCATTTTACTTGCTCTTTATAGGTACACCGTGAGCTTCTGGAGACGGATTCCTTGTGTGTCCCATCACACTTGGCCCAGAATGAATTCTAGTTCCATTCTCTATTTATTCTCTGTTCTGTTCCGTTCTGTTCGTCTACTCTGCTCTACTTTCTGCCCTGCCTTGTTCTGGAGGGTCCCGGGAGGCTCTTCCCTTCCACGGATGCTGTCGATTGCTGATCTGAGTGGGGGGGGTGTGACGTAGAAGGGGGTGGGCAGGAGGGTCCTGGGAGTCAGGATGAGGATGAGGAGGACGGTGGCAGTGAAGTGGCCTGGTCCCTTGTCCCAGAAGCCCCTCAGACCCTGCTAATAGCAATAGCAGTTGGACTTGTATACCGCTTCATGGGGCTTTCAGCCCTCTCTAGGCGGTTTACAGAGTCAGCATATNGATTGACTCGTTAGTGAGGACCAGAGGTGCCAAATCGGAATAAACCAGCCAATGAGGACACCTGGCAGAATGCGAAACGGCCTTGAGAGGCCCCGTGCTTCAAGCTCTTCCCAAAGCATCATAAAGGCATCTTATTGGACGCTGAGGGATTGGTCAAGGGGTGGGTGGGTGGAGGGCCAGGGAAAAGGGGGGAAAGTGTAACCTTTGCAGGGGAATCTTCAGATCTCCGGTAGCTTCACTTCCGCTGCAACCACTTAACTTTAGTGAAGGAACCTCTCACTTCCACCCAATGCAGTCGAGAGTCTTTCTTTCCCAAACGTCTTAAATCAAGGCAGGTCTGACAGTCAATGCCAACCAGTTACGCCCGTCCTACGCAAAGGACAGGCCCTTGCCAGGCTCCCTGCCAACCGGAGGAGGCTGGATCTGGGCCAAGCGCCTTCCCGGCTCTTATGCAAATGGATTTCACCAAAACACGGGAAGGAAGGGCTGCTCTTGGTGGCCTGGAAACCTGCCCTCTTTTCCCCCCCGCCTGCTTCCTGCACGAGACCCGCCTGCCCCATGACAGACAGCTCTGCAGGGGGTGGGGGGGGAGCATCCACCTGTCCGGTTCCCCTGCGTCCTTTCGCTGCTTCTGCCCTCCCCAACAGCTGTCGCAGCTCAGCAACCTTGCAAGGGACGGGTGTGCGAGACGGGCTTTTTTGCAACAGCCTACGCAGGCCTCCTGCTTG